GTAGCTGAACTGTGGCAGCGTTGAGACTAGGAACAGTTACTAGCATCAAATACAATTACCACAAATTTGCATGGAATATTATGTAAGTCAACAAAAATAACTCACCATTTGATAAATTTTTGGGTGGTTGCATTGGATTATTGCGTATTTGACTGTAGATATTTGGTGGTCCAATAAGGAACACGGTGTCATCCAAGTAGGGTGCACTAAGAATCCTGCACACTGCAAGTTCATTGAGGTAGTGGTCCAAGGTTGACTGATGTTGAGATATGGTCTTGTAGCATCGGACATCATGCGGCAGTCTGTTCCAAATGTTAGCGTAACGAGTTGTGAAAAATGAAGACTTGAGCTGTTTCGATGCATATGGTAGTGTGACTGGGCAATCTTGGTCTTTAGGATTATAGGGTTTTTTGCCAGCGAACTTCACTGTATCTACATCAGTAGTCACTTCATGGTGTAGGACTTTGTAGAAAATGCCGAGGTTTAGCTTTATTCCCCTTAACCACATAGGCTCTAACCGATTGGCATGACATCTGCCCTCGAATTCCACCATCCTATTAAACGTCCCCGTGTGCCATGATAGCCTTCTTGAGAACACACAGCGTTTTGATAGACAGCAATGGGAAATGTGCGCCATACTAGGACTGGGCGGCCTAGAAGCAAAGCTGTGCCGACCCCACAAATGCAACTACCCACCTCAAAGAAAGCCCCACCGATGAAAGTTACCCTGAGCGCGGTCAAGGATGCGGAAATTTCTTGTTGCTGACGTGGACACTAGTCATCAACCGGTCATCCGGCATCAGGGCCGGGCCAGGCCGGCCATGGTTAGAGAGGAGGGCATCCCGTGGGGCACCCACAAACCGAAACCAACAACCATGATTGTCCACGGCATACCGGGACTAACCAATGGTACACTGGTAAAGAAGAATGCTCACGGCGTCCAGCACTGGGAGTGGTTATCAGCGAGGCAGGATTGAACGGAAAAGCGGCAGCGGTCCGCAGACTTCCACGTCCCTCACATTTGACGTCCATAACATCACCCTGGTTGACGGCTACTAGATTCCAGTGTCAAAAACTTTTGAACGAAGTACTTCAGACTTGGCACGCAGTAAAAGACAGCATAAGCGGGAGCGTTCGTTGCCGTGAAAGCAGGCCTAGGACACTGTGACAACGGTAAACGACAGCCCTGCCTCGTGCTGAAGTCATCACCACTGTCAGCAGACAAGATATCCAAACCAGCCTAGACTCTATAAAATCCCCAGAAACCATTATGGGAGAAAACTTTATTAGGCCGGTACCACTGGAGCTGGCCGTCCTGCAGCAAATTTTGCCATTACGCACGGCCCCTTCACTCTGACACCACCAAGACACCCTTTGTTGTTAGAAACATATCCAAGTGTCTTCACAGCAATGTGAGGGGACTTAGAAGCAAGATGGAGGAGTCACGATCTGTCTGTTCCTGAAGCGCTCCAAAGATAGTAATCCTAACCTGGCTATCACCGGATATTACTGACATCGAGGCTGGTATGGAAGGTATGGCTCTCTTCAGGAGGGACAGGAAGTTCAAGGAAGGAGGTGGAGTGGCAACTTTTATCAGTGACCATCTTAAAAGTGAACGAGCAACTGAAACTCTACTTTTAGGGCTCCCAGATTCCATCCGGTATCACTTTACAGTCGGACACATCAAGTACCTGCCGCCCACAGAACTCCTGCTAGCAACGCGGAATATAACCGACAACTGCTGCAAGCAATGTCCGGAGCAACGTCTATAGGATTTAGCCAGGTCATTATGGCAGAAGACTTTAGTACTGCAACTCTCAATTTTGAGCAGAACAGGGGAACCTCAGGCCGGAGACTTGACCGAGGCATACTCAGCACTATCAGAAAGGCCAGACTACATGAGAATAATGAAATGACAGCCGCCGGGGGTCGAGCGGAAAGCCGTCCAAATTGGACTACCTTTTTACCAGCGACCATCTGCTGGCCGAAGACGACCAGGTTCAAACCCATTTCGGCAGCAGCGATCACGGCGTGGTAGGGTTCAATCTGGCATTCAGCCATGGAGGGATCTCGTCCTTGTCTTTCCTACAGTAAGACAAACTACGTGGCAATGAACCAATGTCTTTCGACAGCACCATGGCCCCAGGAGTGGAGTAACTCTTCGATTGATCAGCATTCGGAACTAGTGAGCGGTATCATCAATAGGGCTAACTCTGGAGACTTTCCAATAACCACGGCATTACCGAAGAAGCGAACCTACGGCTGGAGCGAGGCACTGAAAGTCTTTTGAAAGCCAGGAGGAAGGCATAGCTTAAGTGGAGGATCTCCGGAAGGGTCTGTCCACGTCGACTGTATGGCCCTAAGTTGTGGATGACATATCAAAGTGAGGGGAGACAGGAGGTTGTTCGAGACGAACCTCGTCCAGAAGCCTGAGGTGAGCCCCAAATACCCAGATCGATTTATGGCAGGCAGAAAATCCATCAGCCAGGGGGCTTGCATCCTGAAAGACCTGGTCGCAAAGAGGACATCTTCGGACCAGAGATAGTCGAAGCCTTTAGCGCCGCCCTCAGCACACAACTGAGCAGGTCCCCATCTAACAGAAACTGCCAAATGCCCGACCAACATTCAGCGCCACTAAATGTAGCAGAGTTGTCTGGAATAAAGGTAACTCCTGCCATGGTCCTCGATTAAGCTATCAAAGCTCTGAGTAGTAAAATCACCAGGGTGAGATGACATCCGGCCGGCTGCGTTGAAGCGGTGTACGGGTGCCCCATTAATTACGCTCCGTAATCTGTTCCAACACTTCCTAAACAATCACATGGTTCCACGAGAGTTGAAGCGTGCTGCTTTGTCTCCCACCCACAAAGCAGGAGACAGGTTGAGTCCGGAAAAGCTATTGACCCATAGCCCTTCTACCAGTGGTGTCAAAGGTAATGGAAAACCTGGTACACGACCATGTCAGGGAGTACTTGGGAAAGAGGGGAGCACTAAATGACGATCAACATGGTTTCAGAAAGGGCTCGTCCTGCGCCTAAGACATCCTGGTGACCGGTGGTGAGTAGATACCCACCACTTCATGTTATTTTTTGAATTTTGCTAGCGCCTTTGACAGTCCCGCACACCATTCCCGCCCGCAAAACATCAAGGCTGGGCATCACAGGTCAAGTGCTGTCATGGTTACAGGACTATTTAAACGGCAGAAAATTGCACACAGAAGTAATCTGATGTATTACAAGCAGCGATTCTGAGTCAGCTACTACTCCTTCTTTTCGTGAACAACCTCCCACTGAATCTCAGCTCCCCAATCCTACTTTACGTTGATGATGTTAAGTTATGGAGAGCTGTGACATCCAGAGCAGAATCAAGTGCACTGAGAAGTGGTCGCAAATCGGGCGGGTAATGGTGGACCATCATTGAATTAGGATAGGTGCCGAACCATGTTTTCCGGCACCCCTGAATCTCAGAAAAGACCCTATTCGCTCTGTGGAACACAACTTTCCCACGCCACCACGGAGAAAGACCCAGGATTAATATTGTCTGACGAGCTAAGCAACAGCTCCAACTATCCTGGTGATGCCTCCAGAGCCTGCGCAGGACTGCACTTTATGCGTAGACATCTAGGTCGCCTGACCACAGCACTCTTTACGAAGCTGTACAAGACCTACAAACGACCTCACTTGAAGGTCCACAACATCATTGCATCACCTTATCGGAAAACAGATGTGAACCTCCTACAGAAAGTCCAAAAGAGAGCTACAAGGGGTGTGGTGGGAATGAGGCGGAAACCCTATGAGGACAGGTTGGAAGATCTAGGACTGTTTTCTCTTAGCTACCGTAGAGTACTTGGTGACTTGAAAACGGGTTACGAAGTACTGAGTAACTCAAGTCGTCCGACCAGTGGGATTCTACAGAACGGCCGCTGTGGCAGTCCTCCTGGTGACCCAAGAAGAATCACCCCCCCCCGAAGGGCGAGGACCCTTGAGCGCTCATGCTTCTTCTTTCTGCGAGTTTACGGTCACTAGAACGCATTGCCTACCAAGATTGCCGCTGCCCCGTCTGCTGACAACTTCAAGGTTGAACAGTTATGCAGCGACGCACGATTTTCGTTCGGCTGGCTTGGACATGGACTAGGTCGATACGACCTGCTAACTCGGTGTGGCTAACCCATCACGAAATACTTTATAACACCACTATCACTGTGAACCTGGCTCGACCCTATACTTCTCCATAGACCTCCCATCCAATTACCGTCTCCTACTAATAGAATTAATATCTCTACCCCCACAAGCCGTCCCATAATGTTATTTGCTCGTTCTCTTCCTGCTGACTTTATGTCCTCACACTCTGATGAAAGCTCTCCCTCCCTCCCCTCTCCCAGGAATCTACCAATGTTTCCTAAACAACAAATCTGAAATCTGGATCTTTCGTCTCTCATATCGTTTCTTTTGTCGTAATCGTTTTTTTGCGATTGCTTCCTTTTCTTCGCACTTTCCCTCCCTTGATTTCTCTGGACATATTTTCTGTCTTCTTTTTACAACCAGTCCAACCACTCTTCTGCTAGCAAGACACTTGAGGAACCCATCTGGAACAGTCTTTGGAAAACAACGACACTCCCTACAAATTTAACCATCACCCAACCTCCCGTTGGGGTAACCAGAGCCACAGAAGTCGAGTGGGTAGACCTACTCCACCAGGGACCAGTCCGCAAGACCTAGAAGTGAGAGTGAAGAAATCAGTTGGTTTACGTCAGCTCATAAAAAGGTATTGGATATTGAACAACTTAAACTATGCACAACTAATCTAAAAAAGCTTATGAGGCCACAAAAGGAGGAAAATATGACGAAAAGAACTAAAACTCAGGGCTTGAACATAAGGGTTTAGAAACTACTAGTTTTTGAAGTGATATTATAGATGTCAGATGTTGTAGACTGAAACGAACACTTCGGAGGTATTTAATCAGGCGCGCAATCAGATAGGTGCGTTGCTCTTAATCACATGCTATGGATCCTATGGACAGCCAGGTAATTCATTTGGGAGTACATGAAATGTCCCTTTTGTTATTAGAATGAATAACTAAAATATCTTAGGAGTCACTCGAAGAGACTGTAATTCCACCTCCAATCTATTCCACTGAACCTGTGGACTTAACTACAAGTGATACTGAACCCAACCCTGTGTTGTCCCCCTCCAATCGTCGACGATCTAGAGAAAGAAGTAAAAGTATTTCGAAAACTAGGTTGGAAGTTTTTGGTTCTTCCAAAAATATGGGTGAGACAGGAGATAATTTGGAAAACAATGAGGATTTCGATATTGAGGATGAAAGCCTCATGGAACGTATACTCGGTCTCACTGAGATGTTTCCAGAAACAGTTCGTCACGGTTTTTCTGCCCTTTTCAATGTGGCTTCTGGAGGTATTGAATCAGCATACTCCATCAGCAGATCGGTGACGTGGTTCGTGGCCAGCACTGCAACTCTCTGTTTCCTCCCACTTATCTTGGAGCTAGAACGAGTCCAGAATGAGGAACAAGAAGCAGTTCAGCAACGAACAATGATGCTTGGGCCTAAAGCAGCCGGAGGTGGCTCTGGACTAGCCGGATTTACGGCTTCAGTCCCTCATCTTACTCACATGGAATCTCAGTAGAACTAATGCAAGTTGTACAAATTCTTGTTTTCCATCTTGAACATTGATATGTAGAAACATTATTTTAAGCAGTGAGACAACTCTTTTTGATTACTCTTTCAATGTATTCGCGTACATAAGCAAGTCAGGCGTGTATATCGATATTCTAATTTCTTTGGAACTGCCTTTTGATTGCTTTTAATCTGACATTAACTTAGACTTAACTTGGACTTATTGCGGGCATATGGTAATAAAATCGTAAAAAACCTGTGTGCTGTACTCAATCGAACTCATTTTCAACCGAACGTTGGTCAAGGTAACTGTTTGAAACACAATTTCGAAATAACTGATCGATGCTTGGAATACATGTATATCTAACCATCAATATTTTTAAGGCATAGCTTGTATTTAAAACAATTAGTTCCCTTTATAAACTCCGACAAAACAATAAGAAGACGTATATTTTCTGAACCGTGTAATGTATTTGCGCAACACATTTCGGACTATCTGATCACATACATACTTGTTATAGGTATTTATATAAAAACTCATGAAGATAAGGCATGAGAAAATAAAAAGAGGTCAGGTAGGTAGGCTGAATTAAAGGCCGAATAACAATGAAAATCAATAGAGCGAAAAATAATAGCACATCGAACTTGGTTTTCAATAGTTGAATTTACCAAGGAAGATTTATTGTGACAACAAATTGTTTATGAACACATAAAGGTGGTTTCAACTTTCTGATAGCTAAGGCTTCAACAAATTTCAGGATCCCTCTCCAACATTTCTTGCAAATAGGTGTAAAGGAAGTAGCCATATCAATCCTGTGGCCTGTTTCAACGATGTTTGGTGATCGAAGAACTTGGACGTCTGCTACCAACATTTATGGGTTCAGGTGATTTAATTTGCTTCTGAAGCCACTTTGGAATATGTTCTGAGGCCCTTACTTTCATGGATCTATTAGTTCTCCCTGTGTATGTGTCACCACACGTACGTTTGAATTGGTAGATACAATGGGATATGACATTGTCGTTCAAATGCTGTGGGAGTTTGGGGGAATATACGGGCTTCCTGGTTTCGATTACTCTAACCCTGGCTACATAGTAAGTCCTTCTAACAGCAGCGTTAAGTCTCTGCTTAAAGATTTTACTCTGAGAGTCACCTCTATACGGAAGGCTGGTGAAAACATCCTTCTTTGGGACAGACTGAAGGTCTAGTTTTGGAGCTCTGGTAATTTTGTTCTGCCTGATAAATATTGATAGATAGTTATTTTCCAACAAAATATCAGTCAGTGTTCCCCTTTGATCTTCTAAAGTATTCTCGGTGCATATTCGTTGAATTCTGCTGAGTAAGCTCCTTAATAATGTTCGCTTGTACTGAACTGGGCAAAAACTATGGTAATTCAGATATTGCCCTGTCTATGTAAGTTTTCTGTAGATAGATCGTTTTATAGATCCATCCTGCCTTCGACTAATTAATGTATCCAGGAACGGTAAGCAGTCATCTTCCTCTCTTACACACGTTAAGGATATGCTGTTCTTTACTTCGTTCAGTCGGTTAAGAACTGAAGTAGACTGGTTTGAGTTTTCACAAATGATAAGGATATCATCAACATATCTTCGACACAGGTGGGCTTGGTGTACCAAGTTCTCGGCTAAGTTCTCCATGTGTGACATAAATATGTTGGCTAGGAGGGGACCTAAAGGACTTCCCATAGCGACACCATCAACCTGGCAGAAATGTTCGCCCTCACAGGTGAATTTAATATTGCTTGTACATAAAAGTAACAGCTGTTTTAGGTGATCCAAAGAAATGGGTATTGGGAAATTATGCACAGAAATATAACTACAAAATGTCAATTGTCTTGACCAAAGGGACATCGGTAAATAATGAGTTAACGTCAAATGAACACATAAATTTACTCTTTATGTTGACAAGCTCAAGACATTTGATTACTTCAAATGTATCTTTTAAAGAATACTTACAGAATTGCTTCTTAATGGGATCCAATAACTTCACTAGCCACTAGGCAAGCTTATGCATTGGCGACTTACACATTGACATTATAGGACGTAAGGGTTTGTGTACTTTAGGCGAACCATAAAGATGTGGGATTCGGTTGGTTTCAGTAGGGCGAATTTTTGACTGGTAATGACGTTCATCTCCAGCCCGACCGATAGCTACTACCTTGACGTGGTGGTCGGGCTTGCATATCACAATGACCCAACGAGCTATGCTGGTGGAACGCTTGTTCCCTCGAGGTCCTACCATACCAGAAAGGTCTGTTGGGTAGTGGTTAGACGAAAAGCAGTTACCGTCATAGTGTAAATTGCTATACTATGATGGGGGTCTGAGGGCGAAGTCGTACTGCTGCTAGCTGGATGGGGTGTGACAGCAGTAAGGTGTTTCCCTTGGATGACCAGCAGTGCCAAGCTGATGCTGCCTTCTCAGTGGAAGGGGGGGTTAGAAAAGGTCGGCCCCAAAAATAACACACTCCACCACGCCCCACGGTCTGCCGGGCCGGCGGTGTTGGTTCACTTGTCGTTTCCTTTCGCTCATCCGGCCCCAAAAATACAAAAATTCAAAATAATCATACTCAAAAGGCTGGGTGTGACAGGCCTCAAGCAGATGTCCGATGGGCTCTGCGGTCACACAAATCTCTTTCAGGTACCTTAAGAAGAAATAGCCTTCCACGGTGTGGGCAGCCGGGAAGTGTCAACCGCCCTCACAACTCTGTCAGCACCCAAGTTTCTTCTGACTGCTATCCTCCTCCTCCATCATTACCTTCTAATCTTCCTTCACGTCTCTTAATTAATGATGCTGCATCATCTTCAATTTCTCCTACCTCTGCAGCCTTCGACAACGATCTGAGTCCACAGAACAGTGTCCCTGGTCTCCTTAAACCACGCTCCAAATTACATATTGGAGCCTTCAATGTCCGCACCCTCCGTCAAATTGGCCAACAGGCTTCGTTGGCAAAGACTCTAGCAACTCGAGGCATGGATGTGTGCTGTGTTTGTGAGACACGCATACAGGACCCAAGTGTGGTTATTCACCTGACCTCTCCTGACCAATCTGGTGAATCTGCAAAATTCACCCTTCGAGTTTCTGGAGATTCGATAGCTAGCTCTCGTGGTCTTGCAGGTGTAGGTATAGCATTAAGCACCAGGGCAGAAAACTCACTACTAGACTGGATCCCAGTTGATAGTCGCCTCTGCGCTATGAGGCTGAACGGCACAGTGAGAACTAAAAGGAATAGTGAGACTCGCCGTTGTCTCTTTGTAATCTCTGCTTACGCACCCACTGACTGTAGTTCGGATGAAGTGAAGGACGAGTTCTACCATAAACTGTCTAACCTCCTCTCGAAAGCCAAACGTTCGGACGTAGTGGTTGTTGCAGGTGACCTCAACGCACAGGTGGGTAGACTGAGTGAGGCAGAAAGGCACTTAGGTGGCACTTTCGGAATCCCAGCTGAACGTACAGATAACGGTGATCGCCTATTACAACTATGCTCAGATAACCGCCTATTTTTAGCCAGCACAAATTTCAGACATAAAGAAAGGCACTGTCTGACCTGGCGTCCACCGAGCTCGACTCAGCGATGGACACAGATAGACCACATTGCTATTAGTCATCGCTGGAGAGGATCGGTGGAAGACTGCCGCTCCTTCTGGAGTACGTGTTTGGACAGCGATCATGCGTTGGTCCGAGCACGTATATGCCTGCGTCTCAATGGACGTAGAAAAAATTTGGCAACAAAACCACTACGAGTTCTGCTGGACAACGAAAACACCAAAGCCGTGTTCAGTGAGAAGTTGGCTAGGCAGTTATCGGAACAAAAGACTGTCACTCATCCAGAAGAAGCTTGGTGCCATCTTCAGTCTACTGTAAAAGCAGCACTGGAGACTGTAGCCGACTCCAAGATAATGGCTAAAAAGAGCCAGTGGATATCAGCAGCTTCTTCCAAACTAATGGATGCACGTGAATGCATCCCTGCAGGCTCTGAGTACAATGAAGAGCGAGCGCAACTTAAAAATAAACTGACGAAAAGTCTGCGCAACGATCGTGAACAGTGGTGGGCAGCAAAGGCTAAAGAGATGGAAAAGGCAGCGGCGATCGGTAACAGTAGACAGTTATTTAGACTTATTAAGGAGACTGGGGGGAAATGGTCAACAACAGTTAGTGAGGTTATAGCGGAGAAGGACGGATCGGCGATTCACTCGCAGGGAAGGCGACTGGGACGATGGGCAGAACACTTTGAGGAACAGTTTAACTGGCCTCCAGCCACCATTGCGCTGCCCGCTATCCAGTCGGACCCTGAATGGGACATAGAGACAGGTCCCCCAACACTAGAAGAAGTCGAGAAAGCGGTAGGTAGCCTGAAACGGGGAAGGGCAGCAGGACCAGACGGACTACCTGCTGAGGTATACAAGAATGGTGGTAGAGTTCTCTTAGTCAGGCTAACGGAAGTGTTAGCCAGTATATGGGAATCAAATACGATCCCCTCCGACTGGTCTAAGTCACTCATCATCCCAGTCTTCAAGAAAGGCGAGAAGTCCTCTTGTGATAACCACAGAGGAATCAGCCTGACAAACATAGTGTCTAAGATCCTAAGTTCTATAATTCTCCGACGCCTGAGTGGAGCTCGGGAACAGCAAGCCCGAGAAAACCAGGCAGGCTTTAGACCTGGCCGTGGATGTATCGACCAAATATTCACACTGCGCCAGGTCCTGGAACATAGGCATGCTTACAGACGCCCGACAATAGCTGTATTTCTCGACCTGAAGGCGGCATTTGACTCCGTTGATCGAGAAGTCTTATGGCAGTGTCTGTCACTGAAAGGCGTGCCTAGTAAGTACATCACCTTATTGAAAGCTCTCTACTCGAACACTTGTGGGCATGTTAGAGCCTATGGTGAGTTGTCCAGGGAGCTATACTCATCAAGTGGTGTCCGTCAAGGATGCCCACTATCCCCATTCTTATTTAATTTTATCATAGATATTCTTATGGAGGTTTCCCTC